CCGCCACGCCTCCAGGATGGTACTCCGCATACGGACTTATATTATATACCCGTCCCCCCAGTACCGTCCATGCGTCCTTGCCTTTCCTCCCATTCATGACTTTTAAAAGGGAAGGCGGGACTTTGAGGTACGGCATCCCCGGTGGTAAACCGGTGAGGTTTGCGGTTGGCGAGGAGGTGAGGGTTGCCCAGTCGAGGGGGGAGCGGCCGGGTGCTAGGAGGACTTTTTTTCGGGGCTTGGGGGGTGGGATCGTGTGGGTGGGGGGTGGTGTGAGGCCTGATGCTATTCCTGAGCTAGCATTCGAAGACGAGTTTGTAAATGCGCTCTTTGAAGAGAGGGGGTTTCTATTCGGCAACGGTCCACCGCGTTGAGGGGGTGCCATCAGAGATGATGTCCCTCGAGGAGGCGGAGGCGCCATGGGCGAGAGTCTTGGTATGGATTTTGTCATCGTTGCACTACCACCAGCTCTCTGCGCCGAGTTGAGGGCTGGGAATTGAGGTGGCGGCATGAGATCTTCTTCTTCTTCTTCGTCTTCGTCTTCGTTCGCGTCGCCTAGTGTGAAAGAGGGTATCGAATCCTGTTCTTGAGGTGTATGGGAGCGAGCTCGTGGGGTGGGAGGGGAACTCGTTGTGGAAGTTGGTGGTGGTGGTGGTGGCATTGCTTTCCTATCTTCATCTCCTTTCCTTTCTGTCGTGATCTGTGGTTCCTGAACTTTCTCATCGTGTGTAGACGTCGTTATACTCGGCGCATCGTGTATTATCATCGTCGGCGGCGCCCTCTTATCCCCATCTTCCCCTTTCTCCCTAATCCCCCCAATATCCACCTTCACACCCTCTACACCCTTCCCATCCACCCCATCACCTCCTAAACCTTCATCCTCCCTCCCAGCACCCAGCGCATCTCCCCTCCCAATCCGCGCATCACCAATAGTCCTCACACTCCCCCCGCTCCTCTCCCGGAACCAGTCCACAAAAGACCACGTCGAAGGCGGATGTCTATAGCAAAAGAACGAAAACGTAACTATCAGTATCGAGAGACCGAGGACGGCCATGTTACGGTAAGGATGTTCGTATAGTGTTAGGTCAGTGACGTTGATGTTGACGGATAATAATTGGGGGTTTGGAACTTGGGCGCTTGTTCGGAGGTATACGGAGGGTACCTGGTACCCGGGGTGGCGGTATCATGTTTTGATAGATTGAGTTTGCCCCTCCTTTTTTGAGGCCGCTGGTTAGATTCACTATTTACCTATATTCACCATGACTTTACTTGGCTAATTTTATTACTCAAGGTGTATATGGAGATACTCCGGTTATGTATGAGTTCTCATGTGTCACCACCTATATCTCAAACACTACTCTTTCGACACATTCACATCACAGCACGACAAACCCAGTACAATAAAAATACAATAACAATCATAGCCACTATAAAAAACATAGTATAAAAAAAGTCCCATCTATATCTCTCACCCCAATCAAGACAAAAAAAAGGAATTTGAATACCATGATATATTTCCCAAAACGCCTCAATATCCCCCCAAATATGCAACTCGATATCAACAAAAGAAAAAGAAATAAAAGCCCTGTACATACGTACATTACACCCACGTTCCATATTCTATCTCTTCTCTACCAATAAAACATGCATCGCAATGTACGCCAAAACGATGAAGCTAGCAGCGAATATTCCCAAGCTAGTGACATCGTTCCAAAGGGCTCCATTGTCGAATCCAAAGGAACTCAAGATTGCAGCTCCTGGAATGGTAATGTCGAGTCCGTATTTCTTGTCAACCAGAGTCAACATCGCAACTTCATTTACAATCAATGATTCAAATCCATAATGGAAGATCGACAGTGACTGTAGGAAAAGAGCCGATTCTGGAATGGCATTGTGGTTGAGAAGTAGACCGGCAAACAACAAGCTGAAGAGCATGACCAAACTTCCAATCAGATTTGCAACCCCACTATCTTTACAGACAATTCCGATAAATAGACAAATACCGGCTGCTGCAAGATTGAATAGAACCAAAACCAAAATGAATCGAAAGAAATGTGGTGCATCGGCAGTCAATCCAGTCATTGGATAAATGATGGACCCCATAATGATTGGTGGAATAATTCGAAGAGGGACAATATCAAAGATAACTTTGGCAGCGAAATATGTAATAGGATGATAGTATCCATTGGCTCTTTCTCTGACGAACAATAGTCGCTCGGCAGCAAAAACAGTCAAACTTGTCAAAGTACTGAATCCGAAAAGTGCAAGGACGAAGAAGAACAATCCAAGTCTATTCTGGAAACCAGGGATATCATCAGTCAAGCCGTAAAACAAATATCCGGAGAGTACGGCGAGCAAGATCGCAATAGCATAATGCGTGAGCATGAGCATGGGATTTCGGTAAAGATTTCTCCAAGTTCGCTGTGAGAGAATGACAAATTGTCTCAAAAGGCCAACTCGAGCGTAACCTTTACCCATGGCACTAGTATAGACGTTACCATCTCCAATAACATTTCCATTTGCTCCATTGGCAGTTTCAGCATTTGCGATGGCATTGTGAATATCGTCATGGATATTATTCGCGACATCGGAACTGGTATAAGCAGAGACGAGGGCATCCAGATCAGTACCAGCAGAAGGAAGAAGGTTATCGGTGTCATCGAGAATTTGTTGAGGAACTTGACCATGTTGTCTTTGAAGTCGAATTGCATTTACGTCTGTTGGCGCATCATCGCCTTGAGAAGCTGGAGTTTCCATACCACTCTTCTTTCGGGTGAATAGCTCTCTTTCTTGTTTGGCTCGAACGGAATCCTTTCGTTTGCTTTTAGGCCTTGTTGTTACTTCTGAAATACTACTGCCGGCACCTTCCTCTATACTGCCACCAGAGATGCTAGCGATTGACTTGACAGCTCGAGTGCTACTTGGGCCAACACTAAGAGCGCTACTTCCATTCAACCCGGGAATCGCTTCATCGACAGGAGTACGTGGTGTACCAACATGCATGGTCAAATCGACAAGATAATCGGCAATGTTGAATCCAGGTGGGCAGGCATATCCGATGTTATCAAAATATTCTTGACATTGGGCAAATTCTCCAGAGTAAACAACCCTTCCTTTGGCCAAGAGAAGTAGCCTATCGAAGAGAGATACGATATTTGATCTTGGTTGATGGATAGTGAAAATGACGGTTCGCTTGTAGGTTTTTGCCAACGTGACAAGACACTCAATGACGTTGAAAGCGTTGTAAGAATCGAGACCACTGGTAGGTTCATCGAGGAATAAAATGCTAGGACTTGTGACAAGTTCACATGCAATACCAACTCTTCGTTTTTCTCCACCAGAGATGCCACGACCTTTGCCTTCTTCAGAACCAATCAAAGAATCTTTGATAGCCGAGATTCCAAGTTGTTTTTCAACTTCATGGACTCTCTGCTCCTTTGCCACTCTTGTCATGTCACGAGGAAGTCGCAAGAGAGCACTGGTCATGATGGTTTCGTGAACAGTGAGTGTGGGTAACATGGTATCTTCCTGATCAACGAAACCAACGACATTCTTGTACTCGGTGTCATTGACTTTTTCTCCATTGACGTAAAAATCACCAGAAACCACACCTCTCTTGTTTTTTCTGGCCAAGATATCCAGGAAACTTGTTTTTCCTGCTCCAGAAGCTCCCATGATGGCCATAATCTCGCCAGGGTGAGCAACTCCTTGAATGCTGTTCAAAATGTTCTTCCCGTTCATATGATACGAAACATTCTCCCAGTATAATGAAGCAGGTTTATGATCGGTCATAAGTTTGGCACTCTCATCATCAGAGTCGTCCAGGTTGATGGGACCGTGTCTAAATTGTCTTCGAGAGAGGTACCAGACAAGTAAGATGACAAGAACCACAAAGATACCACTCCCAGCAATCACACCAGCAATTAAAGGGGTGTTGATCTTCTTAATTGGTCTTTCAAAGCCAGGGACCTCTGTTTCGTAAAGACACTCTCCGGAAGCGCAGTTGATGAAGATACTATCATCCCCAAATACCGATGAAATCAACTTGTTCATTTCGGGTTCCGAGAAAACACATTGATTCTCTCCACCATTTTTTTGGTCGCAATTAAAAGAAGCTGGACCACGAATCTCTTCAGTCAAAAAGTCGGAGATATCCACTGAGCCATCTTGACCACAGAGCATTCGATCGGGAATACATTTACAAGCAACATTTTTGCATTGGTACGAGGTACTGTTTTTGTTGAGGTCGAATTGAGCGCTGGAGCTGCAAGTATCGAGGGAGCAGTAGAAGGATTCCTGTTCATCGACCCAGACTAGTTTCATTAGCATTACCTCATGATACCTCTAGGGTCAACCTACACTGGAAATCGCAAGTCTCCTTTGGGGCGTTGCAGGTAAATGTAACTTGAGGCTTCTTTCCGTCCAATATATCCAGAATCTTCTTGTTTGTGACGTCGCACATTTGGTAATTCTCCTTGACCACTTCTCCATTCTGATAGCAGACTCCACCTTGGTTCTCGGGCATCAAAGTATTACATGCCTTGTTGGTTTGACACACATTGCAATTGATTCCTCCCCATCCATCTTCGCAGGCACAGTGGTTACTCTGTCGCATCGGTCGGTCCTTTCCAGCTGCTAGGGAACCACAAACTATTTCAATCAGCATAGGCCCACAGCATACAAGGCTATCACCAGCTTCATACCTGGTTGCAAACAATCATCCCCACCATATCCTGGGGGACAAGAACATTTCCCATTAAACTTATTGCATTCGGAAAATTGACCGCATTCGAATGCTGGCAGAAGACAATTGAAGCTATAACGAGTGAGTAATTGTGGGGAGTTGGGGACAATGATGCCGATGCATACCATGGAGGACAGTTATCTGGCCGATCGCCCATCAACGATAGCTGAGCCTGCATCATATCGATAGAGCTATAATTCAGAGCCGCATAACTTGTGCTCGCCAGCGACAGCGACAGCGACAGCGTCACTAGGACGGCTGTGCCTATTCGTGATCGCATCGTTCTTGAGATTGTTGTTGTAGGTCGTGATGTTGCCTGAAGGAGAGCGCCACTACAGAGCTTCGTGATAGCTGCGCAGCGACTGGGACTGGGGTGCACAGTCCAGTACTCGTACAGTAGCGTCTGACCTAAAACAAGAGTAACGGTGATGGTGATGATGGCTGGTTAGTCGGAAAGCGGTGTGAGAACTACAGACTGAAGCATCAAGCTTTAGTGTAGAGGGAGAGTCAGAGTACAGGAAAGAGTGGAAATGAGTACGAGTAGCAGAAAGAAAACAAGACGAAATGATGGTGGTGCAAGAAGATGATCAAGCTGGAGTGTGGAAGTGCAGGTGTACGAGTGTAGGACTCCCAAGGTTGAGAGAGGCTCAGCAACGTCACACGCGTCGCTGAAAAGGCTGGGCGTAACCTAAGTACTTGTGGATCTACAGTAATGAACGACAAGACTACTCCAATCTGAGGTGATAAAAATGACGTAAGATGAAAGGTACTGTTGTCCAAACTTTCAAAAGGTCATGAAAATAGCTGAAATTTGAGAAGAACTTAAAAAACAATTATGTAATGATCAGCAGGTACAAGTAGTCAAATATCAAAAATTGAGTTAACATTAATCCTTGTGGGGCAGCCGACCTGTATTCTCGCAGCTTCACAGCAGTTTTCCCGAAATTCTACCGACCCATCTATGGTCTCTATTCTGAGCTTCAATGCAATAGAATCCACATACGCCCTTTATTGACAGACTGTGCATGAAAGGATCTCGCTTGACTCATCACTCATAATACCCAGTTTCTCGCTACTACTATAAGAGAGGTATCTCACAAACCTCCAAATCCAAAGAGAAATCCCAATATCAATTTCCCCGCAGGAAACACCTTCACGTTTCATCCCCTCACCACGTGCAAGTCAAGTGCTTAATCAAAATGGTCAAAATAGAACCATTCGAAATCGAACAAGTAAGATCCAAGCCCTCGTCCCATAGAAACTCGCTTATGATATCTCACAGTGGATGGATAAATACGAAGTAACCCCAAACGTCCTCAACCTAGCCGAAACCTGCGCCGCCTCCATCTCCATCAACGACCTCACCCTCCTCTGCGAAGACCCCAACATCCCCCACCCCCTCGACCTCTCCCGCAAACTGACCTATGGAGAAATCCGAGGCTCCACGGCTCTCCGAGACCGCCTCTCCTCCCTCTACTCCGCCAAAACAGCAAGTCCCCTTTCCACCTCCAACATCTTAATCACGCCTGGCGCCATATCCGCAAACTTCCTACTGCTGTATACCCTCATCAGCCCGGGCGATCATGTAGTCTGTATGCACCCAACCTACCAACAACTCTACACCGTCCCCTCCAGTCTCGGCGCCACAGTCTCACTATGGAAGCTCCGACGGGAGCAGAAATACGTTCCTGACGTGGACGACCTCAAGTCCTTGGTAAAAGAAAACACCAAAATGATAATCATCAATAACCCCAACAACCCAACCGGTGCCATAACCCCCAAATCCGTCCTGACCGCCCTCGTAGAATTCGCCAAAGAACGCGATATCATCATCTTGTCAGATGAAGTCTACCGGCCCTTATTCCACGGAATCGGACCCATGGATGCGGATTTCCCGCCGTCGATCTTATCAATGGGCTACGAAAAGGCCATCTGTACGGGTTCGATGTCGAAAGCGTACTCGTTGGCTGGTATTAGGGTAGGTTGGATTGCAGCTCGCGATCCGGAGATTATCGAGGCGTGTGCGGCAGCTAGAGATTATACTACCATTTCGGTTTCTCAACTAGATGATCAGATTGCTACATATGCCATGTCCGGATCCGTCATGCACGCATTACTGGGTCGGAATATCGCCCTAGCAAAGAGGAATGTAGCTCTTCTGGAGAAATTCATTGATAAACATAGTCACATTTGCTCGTGGGTTAAGCCGGTAGCTGGAAGCACTGCTCTCGTCAAATTCGCGAAGAATGGAATGGTGGTGGATGATGTGCAGTTTTGTAAGGATTTGATTGAGAATACTAAAGTCATGTTTGTGCCTGCTTCAAAGTGCTTTGGGGAGGAGTTCAAGGGCTCGGTTAGGATTGGGTTTTGTTGTGAGACGGTGATTTTGGAGGAGGGGTTGAGGAAACTGGGAGAGTATATTCGGGCGACGTTGGTATGAAGGTAGTCAATTCATAGCTACCGAATCTAAGAACTTCATGACACTAAAGGCATTAGGGATTGGGTAGTTGATCCAATCGAGCGTTCCTTCGTCCTCACTCATATTTGCTTCTCATTTTTCTAACCCCCATACTCAAACTTATTCATCTGACACTATACCAAGGACACACTGAATATTCAGTCAGAAAGGTGCCCGAGGAACCATAGTTTCAATACTCACAATACTCACAATTTCTCGTCCCACCATGTTCCTATTCCACACTCGCCACGCACCCATTCTCACCAATCTCACATCCCAACCCCTTTATCCTTCCAATTTCCAACCAATCACCTCCCTCTCAAAACCCTCATACACAACCCTCAAGCCCAAACAATCTCAAAAACATCCTCACTATCACCCCTCACATCCTCCTCCTCATCCTCCCCCAACCCCCCANCAACATCCCCATCCCCCCAAAACTCCACCAAACTAACAGGTCCACATCCCTCTCCCACCCCCTCCCCCCGTCCCATCCTCCCAACCCACGCAACAAGACCCACCCACACCAACAAAACATGCAAAGAAAGGAGGATATAAACAGCTACACCCCATCCTTCGCCCTTATTCCTCCCTTTGCTCTTTTGTTGCTCTTTCTCTCTTTTCGACTGGCCGTTTTGGAGCTGTGCTTGCGGAGGAGGGGAGGCTGGATTTGTAGAAACTGGAGGATGGCGGGGGTTTGGTGATGGGGTGGAGAGGAGAGGTGGTGGGGTGTGAGGTATTGGTGGGAGGGGGAGGGGGAGGGAGAGGGTATTCTCGTCTTCGTGGGGAGTGTCGTTTTCGTTTTCATTTGAGATTGAGGTTGGGAGTCTGCGGAGATCTTCTTCCTCGAAGCCTCTGAAACCGAAACTAGGACTCGTGAAATCGAATGAGATTGATGTCGAGCTGGCCAGATCTGCTCCAACGGAACTCAACCCCCACAAGTTTTGTCCAATAGTCGAGCTCGAGTTCGCAAGGCTGGACACGAAATACGTGGGTGTGTAACTGCTATTCGTCGACGCGGGACTCGATCGTGAGCGTAGATGGTCGCTCCTGCGCGATCCTTGGGGTGTCATTGGACGGAGACGCGAGTAGGGGAGGCGGGATTTGTGTTTTTCGGCGTAGAGTGTTGGGATGGCTGGGTGGAGTGGGGGGTGTTGGGTTGTCATTTTTGTTTTGTTTTTCGAATGCGCGAATAGGGTGCTGCTTTGTCAGGGTGGGATGTAGGTACAGGTTGATGGAGATATTTGGAAACGTGTGTGTGCGCTGGTGGAGTAAGTGATGGTTTTTTTTTCTTTGAAGGTTATGCTGGCTGTGTTGAAGCGCGGGTGGAGTTGAGAGGTGGTTGTGATTTGCTTTTGTCATGTAAGAAGGTGAGTTTGAGGAGATTGTTATCTAGAACCAAGGTTGGGGTGATGGGAAGGTGCGTTTGAGGTAGTAGTTTGAAGCTTGTTTCCTACGTAGGGAGAGGCTCGCTTAGGTTACTACGGTGATTACGGGAAGGAGCTCCCCTCAAATGTTGCCAATCTCGCTCAATACCCACTTCAAGGCATTCTCCATGCTTCCCAGCTTTATATTCGTCTTTCACTAGATCTCCTCTTGTGAAACCTTTTCCTTAGACCACTAAAAAGTGGAGCTTGGGTGTCACGGCTAGGTTCAGTCTGCGAATCACCGGCCTTTTCCTTGGTCGTTCTCTTCATTGTGAACCATTTTTTGGCAATTACAATGGTATCCATGATATCCCCTCGGTATATGGCACTCAATGCGACTATCACGGCGAGATATGTGACGCCTATAGTGCCACCAAAGACGTACCAGAAATGAGTTTGGTCAGCAGCTTGAAAAAGGTCAAGTGCCATGAAGTCTGTTTTCACATGTCAGTGACCAAGGCATGATTGAGGCAATATTACATACCGTAACGAAGGTGGGTGGGAGGTAGAGGATAGTTGCCAAAGTGAAGAGTAACATTATTTGGTTCATCCGCGTGCTTCTTGTTGCTTCCCTGACAGATAGAGCATTGTATAGCTTATAACGATTAGCTTGGTAATTAAGGAAACCGTAGTTGAAATGTACTCACGCCCGAACGAAGACGCTCAATCTCTTCTGTCTCTTTGCCGATATGAGTCAGCAGGCTTTGGGTTCTCTTGCGTTGAGCGGAACAAATAATCTCCCAGTTTGCTGACACGTCGTGATCTGGAAATCCTAGATTAGATATTTCTTGCTCACACTCCTCGGCAATTTGTACAATCTCGTGGTTGGTAGTCTTTATCCAATCTTCGAACACACGAAGCAATTGAAGAATTAGAAAATAACTTTCTGATCGGCTAAGCTTTCGATCATCATACATCAGCTGATGACGAAGCTGCTTATCCGACATGTCGTTGACCTGAAATACAACAGTCAGTACTTGGGATCCTCTCACAAGTATCGGAGAAGCTTGCGCACATTGAATCCAATAAAGAGGTCAAGATCTTTCAGTAAACCTCTCCATTCGCCTTCCCACTCAACGCAGCCTTCAAAAAAAAAGTTTTTGGAAGACAAGAATGCCCGCCAATCGGCTATCAGAGTTCAAGTCTGAGTTCATTTCTTGCTCACCCTCTTCTTCAAGAAATAAATTGTAGTCAACCATCCGTAGAACTACAAACCCCATCTCGTCATTCTCAGGCACAGGAACGGGGTAGCGGATATCGCATGCCCATCGACGTTCCATCACACCCCACGAGACATCTTCTGCCGCAACTGGTATCTTGGTTGACACCGCAAGCCGATCACAGATAATGCCATCAATTGAAGCATCCTTTCTGGAAAGCTTGTCGGCCTTATTAAGAGTAAAAGCTCTCATATACAGCTGAAGCCGAAGCTCAACGTGGACTCTTCCCTCGAGCTCATTGACACGATACCTAGTTTCCCGTTTCGTATTATGTGATATAGAGGATTGCCACGGGCCGCAGTACCGGCCAAGAAAGAAGATGCTGGACTCGAGTATACTCTTCCTACGGTCACGGTTGGCAAGAAGACACGCTATTGACTCTGCTCGGTTGATGGGCAAGACATAATGTCCATCGATATAACTTGAGCTCGTATCTCCATGATAGGGTAAGTTGTACCCGAAACAATACTAGGATAGAATGAGTCGCACTTACAAAAGTGTACCCAGCTGCTTTTCAGTATCTTGATCTATGACTTTCTTGGCATCCCAATATCCACTTTCTGAGGGGTCTAGTACAGGAATGCTATTTGCCGGCCAGTGTCTTAGGAGAGCATTTGCAAGCTCATGCATCAACTGCTTGTCCTTCAAACCCCGGAAACTATAGATGCTCTGGTCTAGGGATATTTCAGGTCGCCCGCAAGATGAGAAAGGAACACGACCTGCATAATAGGCCATCGCTGTATAGGAGAGAGACGGCAGGTGACACTCAACCAGTCGTATTTCCGTAATCCACTCAATGAAATTTATTCTGGCAAATTCTATGGGGCTGATGACTCCGACATAATTCTCTTTATGATTGGACTCGAGACTTTGCATGATGTCTTTTAGTATTTCGAAAATCGGCTTCTCTGAGAAATGCATCTTTGTTTTTCTTACTAATTGGGTTGGGCTGCGTTCGATACTAGGAATTTGAAACGATTTGAGAATTTGAAGCTGTTTCTCGAGAAGTTCTACCATTGTATTGATTCCATTGCTATCAAGGCCAGTAGGGGCTTTCCCATTTGCATTTGACGACGATTCAGCCATGATTGAAACAACAGGCGATAATTCTAGCCGTTAAGGAATGGTGATCATCAAACGACCGGGAGAAAAAGTAAGCATGAACTCGTTCCTGTGAGTGTGAGGGTATGATGGCGAGAGAGAAGAATGATGAAGTGAGAGCGGGGAAATGCGTGAGGTGAGGAAGGTCTTTAGTTAGCGGCACCAGGCGGGCAGCTGAGAGGCTTTATGTTGCAGGTGAAACCCCCCCGCCAGCGCTTTCATATACTGTAATACTACCCACTCTGAAACGAAATAATGTTATGTCTCATCCCGATCTTGCCCTCTGTACCACTACTGATAAGTCTAATCAGGCTTAACATATCCTTTTAATTTACTGAACTGACCGAGGCCAGTTGGGCATGAAGCCACAAGTTTTTGATGTGTAGACTTCTATTTGTACTGATTAGCCTGGGCTTCCCATTTACTACGAGAGGACTACCACTCTAGACTTCGCCCTATAAACACCTATACTGTCGCTCACACTCTCTACCGCCTATACTCTAAGCCTTACGATCGCCATTGCTGTGGAAAATAATACAAGGAAAGAAGTTTCATTGCCAACTTTGGTTATATGAACCGCTTCACCTGAGTTAATTGTGTCCCATGAGATTGTTTGGGTCGACTTCATAATCACTAACCGCTTGTCTACGATCGCATAAGTTCATCACAGAGGCATATTTTCAGTTTAAGAAAGAAGAAATCACAGGGCAATTATTATCACAGAGCATCAAGTTAAATAAGGGGGTAGAAAGACTTTCATTTAATCGTTCTACATAAAATGTGGCAAGTGAAAAGAGGTACGCACGTACATTTTCCAACTTAACCACGAGTCCTCGGATGATTATCAAGAATCATCTTCCACATACAGAGTAAAGGACTCGATGGAGGTGGATGCCGTGCATTTTCGGCCATCTCTTTTGAGGGTTCTTTTTTGCCTCCAACCGGCGAACCGACCTCCTTCCCCTTGGGAGATTTGGCTTCCTCAGCCTTTGAAGATTCTGCTGTTGCCTTCGGAGGAGGATATAGAGCCAACTGTGGCAGAATTAGAAGACTCGGGGCCTTGCACTTTACTGGCCTGAGCAGTAGATTCAGCTTCCCGCCATTCCAATCTTCGTCTTTCTAAGAAAGTCATCGGCCTGGCAGTCGCACCACGCGATTTTTGCACCTTTGAAGAATGGGAGCCAGAAGCTCTGGAACTCGCACCACGCCAGACCATGGATGTAGAAGCTTTGCCAATCGCACCACGCGAGACTGTAGAGGCAGAAGCTTGGCGAGTCGCACCACGCGAGAACACAGTATCAATCGCACTACGCGAGACTGTAGAGGCAGAAGCTTGAGAAATCGCACTGCGAGATGCTATAGTGTCAATCGCACCACGCGAGACTACAGATGTAGAAGCTTTGCCAACCGCACCACGCGAGCCTACAGTATCAATCGCACCACTCGAGACTGTAGAGGCAGAAGCTTGAGGAATCGCACCACGCGATTCTGTAGAACCAGAAGCTTTTGAAGCCGCAGCTTTCGCTGTCACTCTGGCCCTGGCACCCGCGAGCATTCTTGGTAGACTTGCCTTGGCTTGTTCTCCGCTCATGGGCGGTGGCATAGGTGTCCCAAACTCTTCCACAGTATATTTTCTACCGTGTCTGTGCCCTGCTCAAGCTGTCAGTAGTGGAATTTGAGCATGGAAGGTCAATTTACTTACCGACTTCAGCTATAGTCTTGAAGTCGGCGTACCAGCGAGTCTGGTAGAACTGCAGGCCAAACATTGCGGCACCCTCGCGAAGCTTAGCTTCGTAGATCTTGTCGAACTCCGCGCTCGGATCTGGGGCCTCTAAAAGCTTGTGAGTAATGACATCTTTTTTGATGCCATCGAATTTTCGTTCATAGTAGTACGGTTTATCCCGATCTGGGTCGACCGGGTCGACATTTGGTTGCGCGATTGGTTGCGCCATGGTCGTGATGTGATGATGTTGTAGGAAAGTGTCAGACTGTCACGAAGCTGAGATCTTCAATTGTCGTGGGCGCCGCTGCCGTCACGCTAATCTAGCGCGCCTTTCCGTCCCCGAGGCAACAAGTGAATCTGTCCGACGCTTTCCCGTTTTGGATCGCAATTTTGGATCGTCTCGCTTACAGAGATTACGGTTCTGGGCGGTCACCTTCCTGGGCATACTTTGGTATCACTATAAGCAATTTGTTGGACGGAAACCCTTTCTCATTCTTGGGTATCTTGTGCCTTCGCTGCCATCGCTGCTTTGGCTTCCTTTCGATGCTTTGGCTTCCTTTCGATGCTTTTCCAACCTTTCTTTGAATGACAGCTCTTTGCCGAGTCGTTTCTTCTCGGTGCGAAGCCTGGCAGCATCTTCAATCAATTCTTTGGTGCGCCCTTGTAGAACTTCTGTATTCCGCTTCGTCTCTTCAATGGCTTCGGTTAAGGTCTCTGAGACCTCATCCAGGGAATCCTCGACCTTCTTGACCTGAGTTGTGTCCCATGCAATTGATTGGGTTGAATTCATAATCTCTATTCGTTTGTCTGCGATTTCCTTTGACTCCCGTAGATTTTGGTTAGCCCAAGGATGATGTAAGAAATTTTCATATACCTCTTGCCTAAAGTCGCTGTGCTTCTCGGGCTTGAGTTTGCGAGCTCCAGCTGCCACTGGGTTGAAACCTCCATACTCAATCAACGAAGAAGCCAGTTCCGTTATCAAAATTTCTGCAAGTGACAGATGTGACCCGTCCCAAACCTTGAGGATGGGTACGGAGATGTGAGTGACCTTTATATCCATTACCTGGAGGCAGCTCAGCATAAGAGACCACGTTTTTGGAACGTGTTTCATGCCCGACGTGGGACTGTACATGAACATTCTGTTCGTTATTGCTTGTCCGCAACCCACCTGACAGGGACTTTGCAGTTGTGGTGTGGTTCCTTCGGGATCCAATTCTGCATTGGCACGATATCTCAGCAACATCCTGCAAAACTTCTCGGCCTGACCCTTCAAGCCCTGTATCAGTTTGCGTCCTCCATCATTTGTAGTTTCGCGGAAAGTATCCAAGCCACGGTGACCCGGATTATAGACCCATTCAATCTTGGCAGCTTCTTCTGCGGCTTCCTTGTCCTCTGCGGACGAGTTGGCATCTACCTTCCGTCCCTTGCCGGCAATATATCTATGCGAATCAGAATCAGAAAGAGCGATAAATGGACTAGACATACCGCATCATCATGTCATGAATCTCTTGCAATTGATTTCGGCATAAACCTTTCTTCGTGCCCGAGACGACAAAGGTGTTGAGGTATACACCAGCGCAGTGGTCGATATCATGAAACAGACGCTCGAATTCCTGGCTGGTAGCCAATTTGTGACCTATTGTGCCGTCAATCATCGCTGCAATGACTGGTCTAGGTATGCTCCTGAGCAACTGAATCGAGACCCCCCCAAAGTCGCGATCATCTCTGACGTATTTCATGCATTTGTCCACTGTCACCATCTACTTAGTGTCTTGTATGCTGTTCAAGCAAGGGGCAGTTACCGCTAGGGACTTTCTCCTCATCCATTTGTTCGTCTACGATCCCTTCCAAGTAGTCCTCTGCTATGCGGAAGATCTCTTGCATGAGGTCCTCGAGAGACGCCATCTTCGAGTGGAGCATCTCATGCATTCACAATTGACGCCGTGTCCACATTGGCATTTCGGCCGTGGGCGCTATGGTATAATCTGGTGACGCTATCAAAGACATAGTGAAAGATTGACGTTGTGTTGTCAAGGTGAGTGGCCACAGGCTGTGGCGGGAAATGGGTGCTCTAGTATAATGTTCCTTGGCGCCGGGGAGTAAGCGATGAAGTGTGCAACGTAACCAAGGTATTATATCTTAACAACACCTTTTCTAGGAGACTATTTGACCCACTCACATTTAAGATACTTCATATACAACAAATTCTACATGACTGTTTAGGCAGTTCTGAAGTTTACTTAGAAGCCTATTATAAACCCAGCTGTAATTCCTTCTATATTATAGTAATGCTCACTCTACAACAGCCCTATGTAAAACCACAGGATTATCACAAACTCGCTTAGACGATTTATATAAAGGGGGGAGGAGTTAGTTATCAGGTGGGCAGGAAAGAAAAGTCAATGTAGATCATTCATCAATTTAGCAGTATCCACGCTTCAAAGTTATGCTCAATCAAATGAGATCCGAAATGCTTGCTTAGTATTATGTCAATGGCAGACTCTTAGTAGCGCCAGAAGTACTACGTAGAGGAGCGTCCTTCCACTGGACTTGCTTTTAAACCTTGGTCCGCCACAGACATTGGTCCTCTTGAAAAGGGTAGAGGAGCGTCCTTCCGCTGGACTTGCTTTAAACCATGGTCCACCACAGACACTGGTCCTCTACACTCTAGGATGCTTGACTGGCATCATTTGTTTCTGAACTCTTGGTCAGGCCAGAACTGCTTCGCGGAGGAAAGTCCCTTCCCTTGGACTTGCCTTTACACCATGGTCTGCATATAGACTCTGGTGCGTCCACAACAATCTCACAATTATCTTGCCCCTCGGCTAGGTCCACTGTGTAGTAGAATAAAATATAGCAACCCGGCTCTTTGATGCTCCACAGGTGTGCCTCTTCTGGATTTGGTTCTTTGCCACGGAACTGGCCAATCTGTGCCGGAGTAATCTCGCTACCATCCTTGTGATATGTGCGGATCCGTTCATCCTCTTCCCCTTCCGATACCCGGACCACCGCGAGGAGATTGTTCACTGCTGTCGTCTGCTCGACAAGATACTGATCCTCATTTGTTTTGATGCGAAAGGGACAGGGATATTCGACGGTCCTGAAGTCGGAGATTCCTTTCTGCGAAACGCCCTCGTTAGTGTAGCGGACCATCAAAAACTTTGGTCGCTTACCCAGGCGTAGTTGTAACTTACCGTTACGAAACCGCTTGGCTTCAAAGGTGGAGGAAATGCAATCCCCCAAAGTTCCAACGCCATTGTAATTGATCATCGTAGGATAGGCTGGGAAGTCCGTCTCCTCAACCTTCCAAAAGGAGTCGCCTGGATAGCGGACAGCAATGACATTGTTCTCGTGAAGAGTAAGTTGTTTACTCTCAATGAACAGATTGTGTAGCAAAGGGTGGTGAAGAAGTTCCCAAAAGTTCCAAATCCTGAAAGGATCTTCTGCTGCTCGTGTGGGTTCGAGCTGCTCAAACACAGGTCGCTTTATTTTACAATCCTCGATTTGGTCCCGTCCAATGTCAAGCCAAGCGCAGTCGTGAAATTCCTTTTCTGCCGGGGTGCTTGAGGATTCGCCATCCAAGCGATATCCAAATGCGATTAAGAGTCTGAGTATGATCAGTATTTTATCAACGGCACGGCTGTTCATGGAGGCACTCAAGCGATCCGTGTCGCTGCTCTCCGGTACCTCTTCTGGATTGAGCCATACCCCTCGATTCGGCCAATTAAGACAAAAGTCTGCCATCTCGTTAATGTTGAGAATGATGTGTTCAGAATGTTCTTTACTGAAGGATAAGTATTGTGGCGGAAGGTTTGCCTGAAGTTGGGAGCGATGCTGTGAGTACTAGCGCGCTCGGCCACGACGCGGCTAGACTAGTTCACTGCCAACAATCCAAAGTCCACCAACCACTGGTAAGTGTACCAGTGGCCTCCAGTTCTGTTAGTTACCCACTGCCCTACGATTTATTCAATGCTACTTCTTCAATGCCACAAATTGCCTACGAAGCAAGATCGTTTGCCCTTTCAATTCTACGACTTGTTCCAACTTTCGCTTAATATCAATGGTCCCTTTAGTGGTATAAGTTCGCCCTCCTTTCTCGTATCAGCATCCATCATCATCTTCCGCGATGGCAACCACGAAAGGTTTTCGAGAGACCAGGCAGGAAGGAGCAACAACCGCCAGCATGAATAGCTTCAATATACATTTGAACAGCAGGAAAATCACTTTCATGATTACAAGACTGACGGAGACGACAGCAGATGAACATGACTTGCACGCTGGTAGAGAGTATCCAGGAAGATGCTAGCGCTAAAGTAGCACGAATGCCATTATCGTACACAAATGCGGACAAGGTTCTAGCAATACACAAGAACCTCATTCATTTTACCTGCCAGAAATGGAATCGAATGGCAGCAACGCTGGGAGAGGGTACTTGGATGTCAGGGATTTGCTACAGCATAACTCGCGAATATAGTAACAAAGAAGCGCCTTGGAATGGTGATAATCGAGGAAGAATTGGGAGTGGAAACGGGTGTCTTCTTTACAATGCTTGGCATGCTTTAGATCACTGATCAAATCGGGAACTGGTGTAATTGGTTTGATGATGGCATCCCTACAAGCTGGTGTTTCTCTGTAAGCAATGATTAGCTGGTTGTGAGATGTATTGTGATTACGGATGTTGGGTTGGGTCCATGACGGAGGCTCTCAATCTCTTTGACGACAATGCTAAAGCATTCCAAGAAAGTCTTTTCGGGGTTTTCCTATCTGCCAGTGAAGGTGCTTGGTATTCAGCGTCTTCGAACCTATTCTGTAATACTATCACGGCTTGTTCTCTTGTAGGTTCGTAGTCGAGTGTCTGAATATAAGCGTTGTACAAATCCGCGGCGAATCCCTTTCACACAAAATAAGATGGAATGCCCCATGACTTATGTTGACAAGCTCATTACCACCATCAACCCAACATGGGAGGTTTGAAGGAGTTGGTATTGTCTGTAATGCTTAGTCTCCCATTTGAAAATTTGGAGTTCTAGTCACTCAAGCACGTCAAGAAAATGTTAGAATGGAATACAAGGTCGTCATGGTCAAGAGTTAGAAGTTTACGTCACAAATACAAGAACAAACTAAAGATTGGGAGACTCTTTCATTCATAGATACTTGAACAAGTTTGTGTTTTGAAAGAGAACAAGCATGCCGTGATGTATCCCATTGTGATTGTAGCTCTGATACCACCAAGTCCACCAAGTCCCATCGATCTCCACCGCGATCTTTGTGTATCCTTGCCTGCAAACCACACACCACGCCCACTGATGTAGATTATGTTGCCCCATGCATTCGATGTTTTGTTTTTTGGGTGATGAAAGCTAGAGTGCTTTGCATGTGTTAGTAAAGTCATGAACGAACGCGATGATTAAGACCAAATTATCTCTTGAAGATGAATGGGGTTGCTTCTACCAACAGCATGCTCGCAGGTACTTGTTTTGCGGTCGAATTGATGTTTGTTTGTTTGAGAAATGTACTTGAGTGCTTTGTTGCGTGTTAGTAAAGTCGAGAACATTGAGTGATTGAGAGTAGCTTACCTCTTGTGGTCGAAAGTATCCATTTCGCCACTGGTTTGATATTTGTTTGTTTGCTGATTGGAGTTTGTGGAGTTGAGAAACTATGATCTGACGTGGACTTATTTACTCTTATGAGATTTGGATAGAGAGAAAATGCTGTATTAAACGTCAGCAACTTGTGAGTGTAAGGGAACTGGGAAGCTTACCCCTTGTTTGTTTCATGATGGGAGAGAATTGGATGGCGAGCATTGGATGGAGAGAATTGATGGAGAGAATTGGATGCTGATCATTGGATGGAGAGAAGATGCTGTATTAGCGTTAGTAAGTTCTCGTTGCAGGGGAACTGAAAAGCTTACATCTTGTGGATGTGGAAGAGAATGATGATTTGAATTGATTTTGGTGTGTCGTCCGCAGCGAATTGAGCTTGATTTGAACGGATCGTGATGTGGTAGGTAAAGTGATGTGAAATCCCCAATCGGAACTACTCGAATACCAAATTCACATACCAATTGGTTGCTAGAGAAAAAAACAAGCTTTTTTCAAAGTAGGGGCCCAGTCCGCAGATACACAATATGTAGTCTCTTACAGAACGAAACATCTTGAAAGACGATATGTGCGGCACCCAGAGGATGGGAAGAGGTGTGTGCTGGTCCCGCCTTCAAAGCTACGTGAGAAATAAGTTGGACGCCTTATTCGAATCGTGCTCTTTGCCTCCTGCTGAGTCTCATCGTCGGAGCTATCGCGAGCACGTTTAATTGTGTTTTGTTGGGTGCTCTGGCCAACAGTGGTGGTAGAGGAACTATACGCAGCATCATATGAGTTTAGACTCGGAGCTCCAGGGCAAAATGATGTGGTAGGTAAAGTGAGACTAGCATCAAAGTCTCAACTAGAACCAGAAGTTGCTCCTCATGCGCTTTAATTTCAAAGTCTCGCATGTTCTACAAGCAGAAGCAGCAGCACGTGAGGTTTTTTCGACTCCCATTCCCAGGTCAGCCGTGACACAAGCAGAGGCTGATGAGTTGCTCCTCATGCGCTTTCCAACGCTGAAGGCATGTCATGAAGTATGCAAAATGCTCTGTATCCATTCTGTCGCGACGAGATACAAAACGCTCTGTGTCCATTCTGTCGCGACGAGATACAAACGTACTTTCAAAGTCTCGCATGTTTCACGAACAGAAGCAGCAGAGTAAAGTTGCTCGTCATGCGCTTCCCATGAGTTTTCTTAGACTCCCATTCCCAAGCTAGCCGTGACATGAAAAGTGTCTTGGCACAAGTACGCCGGTGGGATTCTGAATGAAATACTCGTTTTCCTAATGAATCAAAACTGGCACCGCATCCATGATGATTGCATCAGGATAGATGGACTTGCGATTCTCGCAATCAATCGCTCAGTCTGATATGCCTCTCTTGCCATGATCTAGCAATGAAATTTCGTCTTGAAAAACTTGTAGGCATTGAGAACATTGGAAGCGATAGTGTCAACTTTGCATCCAAAGTGTCACATCTCAAAGCTCAGACGAGTAGACGCGTATACGCGATCGCAATGTTCAGGATCTCAGGCCTAGAATTTGCCATGAGTGGATGGGATGGATCTCAGGCCTAGCATATCGCCATGAGTGGAAGGGATGGATCTCAGGCCTAGCATATCGCCATGAGTGGATGGGATGGATCTCAGGCCTAGCATATCGCCATGAGTGGAAGGGATGGATCTTAGGCCTAGCATATCGCCATGAGTGGATGGGATGGATCTCAGGCCTAGCATATCGCCATGAGTGGATGGGATGGATCTCAGGCCTAGCATATCGCCATGAGTGGATGAGATCGATCTCAGGCCTAGCATTTGCCATGAGTGATCGTCTCGACAAAAGAAAGGGAGGGAAAAACGACAGCGCAGAACTGAAACATATATTGATCAACCCTGGGACGCATGAAGTCCAGCGGCGGTCGCCAACGAAGATTCAATAGACATCGTTGGTTTCTTACCTTGGTGTTAATGTCCTGTTGTCATGATGAGAATTGGTTGACACATGGAAAGGAAAGATCTAGGTGGCGAGGTGGCGAGGTGGCTAGGTGGGAAGAAATCCAAAGTGCGCGCGAGGAAGCGCTAGTACCAAGCTAGATTAGCCGCCTTATATGTGACTTCAACTGATCAATTTCAACCAACATGCCATATGCAATGGGCAAAGTTGACGCAAAGTTGGCTCAAAAGTGAAGACAAACGCATTTTCAACCACTTGGGAACAGCTGCCTGCTCTCTTCGGTTTCGGGTCCAACAAGCCGTAGCCAGACTATCTTGCTTCCTTGCTCTTGTCGTACCTGAAGACAATAAGCTGAGCCATCACAATATCTGCATTGCCTGATGCCCTCAATAATTTCCAGAGGCTTCTGTCTGTTAGTAGCAATTTTCTTGAGACATTGCCATGTATGATTCATGTCACTCTCATCTGAGCTCCTCCTGTAGCGATTGAATACGCTCACAGGATCCTCAGCATCCTGTATAAATTGCTTGCCTAATAAGCGAGGCGGCGTTGGAATGAAGATTCTGGTAAGAGCGTATTCCACGAAGGCTATGTCGCTATTATTGACCAAGGTGAAATATTCCCAGACACGCTTCCGGTATTTCGTATGGTTCAACCAGCTGTCATTTGTGCTAGGTGCCGCGGGAGTATTGCGGACTGACTGGTTGACATTGCGTCTCTTCTTGCCAGTGCTGCTTTCCTGTCCGTCATTCTGGACTTTCAGCTTTTCAATCTCTGCTGTAAGTTCTGCGATTTTCCGCTCGGCTTCAGCGTATTTTGCAGTTGCTTCGTTTCTCTCCTGTTCAGCTGCATGGAGCTTACTTTGGAGCTCCCGAAATTCGCTGTTATGTTTTGCCTGGGATGCCTCTGCTGCCTTTGTGGCGTTGGCCACCTCGGTTTTGAATATAGCAAGCGCATTAGCCATGGTTTCTCGAGCCTGCTTGCTGCTCGTTCTCAATTCTTCGGAATCCTGTTTGGCAGCTGTGATGTGTTCACGGAGTGTCTGACCGAGTCTGGCAGTGCTCGTAATCTTCTCCTGGAGCGACTGTGCATCTGCGGAGATATTCTTGACTTTATCCTGGAGAGCATGTGCATCCGCGGAAGTTTCGAGCTGCTGAACGAGTTTAGAAAGCTGCGCCCGATCGGATGTCTGTTCATCATTGTGGGTTGCATCTGCCTGAAGTGACGGGTATTTCAGAGCATCAAGAATCGCGCAGTGCTTCCTTTGCAGTGCCAGTAAATTATTGTCTGCAAGTACCAGTTTGTCTTTGAGAGACGCAGTCTCCTGGCGGCTTGCTTCCAAAGACGCGTGCAAAACACCTCTTGTTGCAATTTCTGCGCTGAGGAATTCCTGAGAGCGAGTAAGCTGGTCGCGGAGGATACATACCTGCTGGACATTCTCCTTGAGGATTCCAAGCTGCTTCAGGACTTGGATGAGTTCAATGCAGAAGTGTTGTCCCACCGCGACGTCACTGAGGTCTGGCGGGCTCAGACGCGCCAGCAAACGCGATAGGATTGCCTTGAGCTCTTCATCTTGTTCTGAGACTAGTTGATGTAGTTGGAGTAGAGTTTCTTCTGTTGTCATCGCGATAGCGTTGGGTGTTGCCATCTTGATGGTGGTTTTTGGTGGTAGAGGTTGTGGGAGCGAAACTGCGGGAACATATATCCTGCGCAAGTCGCTCATCATGAAGGTGTTAAATTCAGGCTTTTCTTCCACACTACATACAACTTGGTAGATACATTCCTTTTATTTTTAGAAAGAGACGTAGTTGTTACTCTGTTTGGTATAATAGATTTCAGTTACATAAAGAGTTTAAAATAATTATTAACGCTTACTTTTAATAACCTAGGTATATACTTATAAAAAGTAATACTATAAAAATAGTTAACCTAGATACCTCGAATAATTATAATAATAAAACGAAAGCAATTTCAAAAGTAAAAGTAAAATATATACTTATTACTTTATACTAACTATAAAAAAAGTTATCATACTAAATATCTAGTGTAATTAACTTAATTCTTCTATTTTACCTAGGTTAATAAAAAGAAAGAGTTAATAATTATTTTAAACTTTTATGTAACAACTTTAGTTATTCGAGGCTTTTAGAATAATAATATTATAGCTTAAATATTTAAGGTTATATATTGATAATTGCCTCTCTTATTCTAAGAAACCTATTTTAATTATTCTAGAAGTTTAGTATAATAACTTTCTATATAGTATAACTTATACAGAGTAATAATCTAATATTTTACTTTTAATTTAGAAACTACTTTCGTTCTATTACTATAATTATAATTATAGTATTACTTTACGCGAGTATATAGTTTAAAGGGATTAAAATCTAATTGTCAGTACGAGAGATACTTATAAATAAGGGTATAAAACAGTAGTAACAAAAGCGTATAAAAGTTAGTATAATAGTTAATTAATTAATATTATACAACCATCACCTTTTTTCGTAGATTGAATTTTTTGTTCTAAAACGCTCAATCTCTCTTACTCTCGCTTAATAAGCTAAATTCCTTCCATGGAGACTCCTCCAAGGAGACCTCCGGCCTCGCCTACGCCCCTGAGAAGGGGCCTGGGAAGGGGGGGAGGACGCCCAATCCC